GTGTTGTTTTATGCTTTATGAACGTGTGCAACAGCGAACAATATGTTGTTCATTATGGTTGAAATTAAAACAAATAAGTAAAGTCAAAGAAAATCGTTGTCACATTGATAATTGTTGCACACACTCACTCACCTCACCCTCCTGGCAATATACAAAACAATTGATGGAAACCGTGTTAGACCTACATTTGTATTGCTGTACATATCACCATTCTTAAGTTTATAACATGTAGAATTAAAATATGGCCAAAAGTCTCAATTAGATTTGAAGCTGTATTGGCTTATTGATGTGTTATGGGACAAAATAGTTCTTTACCCAAAGACATTACTATCAAATGAGCACAGGCCCAACACTGTTGCACTCAATGAATAACCACCCAGCTGAATAGTATGTTGCTGAATGACCCTATTAGTGTCCTATATAAGAGCAGGTGGGCAGTATCACAGTTTCAGAGCAAGATGGCAGAAATGGAGCTTGTGGCTGCTGCGTTGCAAAACAACAGAGTAAATATTCAGAGAAGGAGAGCACGACTGCAGAGGCTGGCAGTGTGTTTACAAGGGGTAAGTGGATTCTGATACAGGTTTTAATCATGTATTACAGAGCATGCTTACATTGCACATACTATCAAGAGTATAGCTGAAACTGTTCCTGTATATTTCATGTGTTTTTGTGTACTTGGGTGAAGTTAGCTTTGAGGACTTTCTGACAGAAAATTGTGTTAGGGTACTTAACATCTTGCAAGAAACAGCGTCTGAGGGCTTCTTAATATTTAACAAACTATGAATGTATCATACCCACTTAATGGGAAGAAACTCAGCTATCAGACAATATTAACCGTTTTTAGCTAAACGAAACACAAGGGTAATAACAAAGGCTCTGAATTAGCCCAGAGCGAAAAAATGCTAACGCAGGGGCGGACTGGCCATCGGGACGAATCCCGATGGGCCGGTACTGAAGTGGGCCGGTCGGACGATGTGGGCCTCTCGGGTAAGTCACTAGTACCCCCCGCACCCCCCCCTCCCCCCCCGTCGACAATTTCCTCGCGGTATTTACTTGTGGCACCGAGGTGGGCCGCTCGGATAACTCACTAGCACCCCCCCCCCGTTGATAAGTCCCGGGCTGATTTGTAGTCCCAGTCCGCCCCTGCACTTAGCATCTGCACAAAAAAGATATCGATTAGCAAGCTGAAATTCCACAGATTCCAGACATATAAGTATCATCACTGAGCGATTAGAACTCGCGGCCAAACTACAAGAAACAACAACAAAGAAATGTGCTTTACGGAGCCAAAACGGCTAAAAACGTCTTACCTTAGCTGTTGTTCTGATCAAAAGTTTTGTTCAATGGCATTAAAACGAGAAAAAACGCTGCTGAAGGTTAATCCATAGGTTAATCCATCATCATATTTATGGCAATAAGCTTAGTTTTCTATAGAGTGTAACATAGCTTTCGGTTTGGGCAAACTGCGTGCGCATCGCTCTCAATCCTCAATGGTAATGTTTAGATGGATTTTAGGAACTCCCCCTCGAGTCTATTGGCTCTAACGGTTCAAAAGAGGTGTCAATCACCAAAATCGATCAATGGGTTTGTTGGAGTCGGGAGGCCTGTTAATTTATTCCGGCAATTACTCAGCCCTACTAATTGACCTAACAGAAGTTATTGAGTCTATGTAAGTTTACTGCCAGGCTCGGATCCACCTGGATCAGCAAGGTCTCACCTCTACTAACTCCTGAAGAACCAGGTTCAATTAACTGCTGTTTCAATTCAGACGACCCGCTAAATCTGTTTAAGCGATCCCGAAGGACTCTGGTATCAGTAATGAGGTGTGGCCCTGCCTAAGTGTGAGTGTGGCAGTTGTGCAATCTTACCTTTAAGCAGGAGAGGAGAGCGCAGATTTCATTTAAATTCTCCCAATCCAAAAAGGTGGGATGATTTTATTTGAAGAAAATTGTCCACACTTTTACAGGGTTTTTACCTTCTCTCGTTGCAATGTGACAATCATACAAATATATCATGCTGTGGTCCTTTTCTAATATAAAACCTCAATTCACAGTTTTACTTTACTTACATTAAATTATATTTTCAACTGGCCCACTTCAGTTGTGACATTACATTCTAACTTCAACTGGCCCACCTCAGTTGTGACATTTAAATTCTGACTTCAACTGGCCCACTTCAGTTGTGACATTTAAATCTAACGTCAACTGGCCCACTTCAGTTGTGACATTTCAATTCTAACTTCAACTGGCCCACTTCAGTTGTGACATTTAAATTCTAACCTCAACTGGCCCACTTCAGTTGTGACATTTAAATTCTAACCTCAACTGGCCCACTTCAGTTGTGACATTTAAATTCTAACTTCAACTGGCCCACTTCAGTTGTGACATTTAAATCTAACTTCAACTGGCCCACTTCAGTTGTGACATTTAAATTGTACCTTTTAAATTCTTCCAACAGAATTTAGAGGAATATCCTTATAAATGGTCAGTGATATAAAACACATTAAAACGTTCATTCAACAATACATTCAAAATCAAAGTCAATTTCAGAGAACTTACCAAGGACAACCCCCGCTTTGGAGCTTTCTCCCTCTCAACCGGTGCTTTTATGCTGCACACAGGGACAGAAAACCAAAGACACACCTTCATACCCATATATGTGTGGAAAGGTCATGGCCTCTGGTGTGCAGAACTGGACATGTCCAGACATATTCTCCTATGGCCTAAACCCATTTTGGGGCTTCAGTACTTTTCCATTGAGTCAGGGGTCTCCTGTGCACAGCTTGCTGTGATGAAGACAACTGTCTCCCCTCTTTAAACAGTGACACTCATAGTGATAAACTATAATAGGCCTTAACCTGTTTCACGCCTTCCCCCCGGTACCGGGCGGATAAACGCGTCATTTGCAGGAAACAACGTCTAAGGAATCTTAATATTGAATAAAACTATGAATGTGTTATATCCATGTAACGGGAAGAAACTCAGCTAACTGATCTTTTTAATTTTTTTTTTCAAAAAAACCCCACAATGCTAGCACTCAGCCTCTGAATTAGCCTCGATCGAAAAAACGGGACCGACAAAGGCACATAAACTCACTCAGAACTCCCTTATTACTTATCCTAGATGCACAACCAAACACTATTTTTTGGTGTCCTGGAGACACTGAATCTAACGGTGCCCACCTCAACACTCAGTGATAAACATTCGCGACGCTATCAACGAAAGCGTACATCATCACATGTGGAGCCAAGAAGCTAAACATGTAAATATGGCTTACCTTGGTCAAAAGTGGTCTTCAATGGCATTAAAACGATAAAAAAACGATGCTGCAGTTAATCCATAGGTTCATCCTATGTGTCTGTGCCTTCTTTGAAATTATTTCTGATAATCCATAAGCAATACAACTGCGTTTTAGTTTCCAAACTCCAGAAGGAGACATTCCTCCAGTTTAGTTTCGCTTTCCACACGCGAAGCGGCAACATTTTTTCTTTACAATGTGTGTCTATGTGAGTCTCCTCCTTCGATTCTATTGGCTCTAACGGTCACAAGGGTATGTCAACCAACCAGATCGAGCAAGGGGGGCCAGAGATAGGTCAAATCCACCCAAATGACCCCAGATGGCCCAGTTTTTTGGCTAAATCTCTCTAAAAAGGTCAAATTTCACTTGTTTTGCATCAATCTTGATACAGGGTACTTATTATATGTTGTACTTTGGATTGCTAAAGCTTTTAGTCTACTAACCCATCATCCAAGGGTAGTTTTCACTATCTGTAAAAAATAATTTTTGGACGGACACTATAATTTACAGTTTTTTACTATGTAAAATCTGAATTTTCTTTAAAATAAAAAACATTTATATTGATTCTGACACTTCTACATCCAACTCACAGGTTTATCATTACTTTGAGAAAAGATTATTAATTTAACCCTTTTAGAAGGGAAGATATGGTCATTTGTTCTGGGAATGTCATTTTCGAGCCTGAGACCTGAAAAACAGGCTCAGAGTGGAACAGGTTAAACTCAATTTACCAAACCCCTTGTGTTTGTAAATACTGTGATTATAGAACAACATGAAATATAATGCATTTTCATTGTGGGTTATACAAGAATATATTTGATTATATTTGATTATTATTTGATTATATTAACTTTCGTTTTAATTATTCAACTTAATATGGAGACCTCAACAGGTTCCAGAGATATGGCAAATATACCCAAATGACCCCAGAGGTGGGTTTTGTTTTTTCTAAATCTCCCTAAAAAGGTCAAATTTCACTTGTTTTGCATCAATCTTGATACACGGTACTTATTATATGTTTTAGTTTGGATTCCTAAAGCTTTTAGTCTACTATCCCATCATTCATGGGTGGTTTTCACTATAAGTAATGTTTTTTTTTTTGGACGGAAACTATAATTTACAGTTTTTTACAAGGTTCAATCTGAATTTACTTTAAAATAAAAACATCTATATTGATTCTGACTCTTCTACATCCAACTCACAGGTTTATCATTGCTTTGAGAAAAAAGATTATTAATGTACCCCTTTTAGAAGTGAAGATATAGTCATTTGTTCTGGGCATGTCATTTTCAAGCCTGAAACCTGAAAAACATGCTTGGGGCTTAACAGGTTAAATAAAGTCACAAATGTACAAGACATTTTGTGTATTTACAAAAAAGAAATTTGAAAGACTTCTCTGAGATTAATTTAAAAAAGATTGCAGAAATAAGTCTGAAATGTTCTGAGATAAAGTACAGTGCTGTAGGAGCTGCTTCATGCTTTCACTGCATCCTTACAAAGTCACAACATGATGTGAAACAAATGAAACCTTTACACCAAAAAACTCTTAAATAGTCTTGAGATCAAGTCACACATTGAGGAGATGTTCCTTCATAGATACAGCTGTAAATATCAGCAGAAATGTTACTGAGGAAAACACAGACACAGAATATGAATATGAAGTGCTGCCATCTAATGGAGATCAATCATGAGACAGGATGGAGTTGATTCTGTTCTGGCTTTATGGTTCAGTATTTGTAAGCAGCTGTGACTGAAAGAATATTGCTTTGATTTGACTTTTGAATGGTTAGTTCATTTTGTTTTGGTTTTGAAGAGGCAGGTCAAATAAGAGTTTCTTCTCCCTGCTCCTTTCCACCATGCGCTATAAAAGGAAAAGAATACAAGTGTACATGTTTTGTTTTCAAATACCTGCCATGTGTGGAATAAACAAATCAATCAATAAAATACTAGCACAGCCGGCTAGCTCTCTGCTGTTTGGCTTCATCACAAATTGCAGACAGGAACATTCTCCACATTCATTTCATCTCAAAGACTGCAGCCACTATTTACAAATATTTAGGGCTATTCTACTGCATCCTTTGGTTCCTATCACCCTTTAGAAACACACAATTAGAAACACACTACATTCATACAGTTCTGTACATTTCATGTATTTAGACTGAGTAAATATGCACATTGACATTGAGTGTTATCTCGTTGCGCTGTCATCGCTACGACCTCTGCTTTCACCTCTGATTCATTTATTTGTGTCTATTTGTTACTGCAGTGAGAGTTGCCAAAGAAATTTTGTTGTACTTTGTATGATGACAATAAAGATATGTTCTATTCTATCCCTGAGTTTGATCTCCAGCTGCAGCTCGTACTTTGGGAGGTCAGCGATGAGTTTGACGTCTGCGATGACCAGCTTGTGCTCCAGCAGCAGGTGTTTGAGGAGGACGTCTTTCTGTCTCTCTGAGTCGGGACAGAAGAGACAGACCAGCAGCTCCTCACCGGGGACACCGGGAGCATCAGGCGGCTGCTCCGGGAAACTCAGAGGCTCCAGGATGCTGTCGTCACCTGAGGGTTACATTATGTTAGTGGCAAATCACAACATTCAAAACTGTTATTTCATTTATATTTTGAGACGCAGTGCAGAATACAGAATTAAAAAAACAGTGTTCCTCTTAGTCTTAACTGCTCTTTACTACAGTACTGAAGACTAAGTTAAGTCACAGTTAAGACTAAGTTAAATTACTGTTAAGTACTTAGTTAAGACCAAGTTAAAGGTCCCATGTCATGCTTTTCTGGTTATTACCCCTTGTGAGTTACAGATGGAGCGTCTTATTTTGGACAGTTTGAAACGCGAGGTCCGTGATCGGCCCGTGATCGGCCCGTGATGAAGAGCCGGCCCCAGTCTGACTTGATACCGCCCCCGTGATAAATACATTTAATTATTGTGAAGCCAGCTGCAATGGATCATTGATCCACCAGGGGGTGCAGTGGGGTTCCACACTGGAGTCATGTGAAATCAACTTCGACACAGTAAACTGGATGTACAGTATGTCTGGTACTAATGTATAGCGGATCTTTGTTAAGATCCATATGTCACGGATAGGATCATAGTCTGTGCTAAATAAGACATGTAATCATTTACAAAACATCACCATGTTGTTATTTAACAAAATAATGTTGTTTAGTCGAAAAAAACGAACAGCAGCCGGCTCTCGATTTTTAATCCTAATTTAATCATCTTCACCACGATCATTTATGTTTATGTTTGCCGAATTGACATGAAATCACTGACAAATATGAATATACTGTATTCAACTTCATTAAAATGTTATTAACGTGCCTAAACTCAGTAATTCACTAAAAATATTTATATTTTAATGGAGCCTTGTCAGGCAGATCAAGACCCGCGTCGCGGAGGGATCTTGATCCCTGGGTGTTATTTTTCCCCATAATGACCAAGTCGCTGCAAATTATCCCGCTTATTACATGGCCACATTCTCAACAAAGTAACGACATGACTCCCAATATTAATTGAAATGCTTTTATGGATTTAGAATATATTGTTATTGATTTAAAAAATAGTTGTATGTATTGATTTAAATTGACATGCATCCGCTAAGAAAAATAGTCCGTTGTTACCGTTTTTTAAACAGTCAGAATGAAACGGCAGCTCTCAGCTGTGTGTTCACACACCTAATGGCCCATCACCTACAGCTCTCTCCCCCCCCTGATCTTTCTTTTCCAACAGTTAAGTTAACTGTAGGTTACTCTGAGTGACAAGCTTACAGTTAGTGAAGTAACACTTTTTTTTTGTGAGTCACGACCTCGCTGTTTCATTCTAACATAACGCTCCAAATATGCCTGTTTCCACTCGGACTTCAATACAGCAACACCATTGTTTGGTTTCCATGGTAGCGTGTCTCTTTAGTAGCGTGCACTCCTTTCCTGTAAATTACAGGTCCAGCCAGGCAAAACAGTAATATGAAATATGAACGTTAGTTTTTAACTGAAATGATCAAATAAAGTCAAAATGTCACAGTGTTTACAAACATTGACCATACCGTTCACCAGCCCCCACCCACCTATGTTGAATATAGCCTACTCTTTGTTTAAAACGAATTGGCCATCGGAATGTGTGTGTCCCAACCCCCCCCCTGTGATATCTCTTCTCCAGCAGTCTGTAGGTTTGTGTTCGCATATTTATGCTGTCGCAGTTCCTCTTGTTTCTATCGGGCATTGCCGGTATGAAAGGGTCTGTGCCGGAAATATCAAGATAACACGGCAGGGTCCGTTACAGTTTGTTTTCATCTGATTTCAAATAAACAAAGTCTTGGCTTTCAGAATATTAAACTTGTTTCGGCAAATTTAGATGATAAATACAACTATGAAGCTTGTAACGGCATAATTACTTAAGCGGAGAACGGAGTAATTTAACGTTACAGCAGGCATAACAACAGCCGGTGTTTATTTTATTATTATATATAGTCGTTATTCATTTGTTTTAAAGCTCAATAAGGAAGATTTAAACTTTCACACACGTTGACCGGCGAAAAACCGGTTCACCTACCCCCCTCTGAGTGAATACCTTCACATCTTGTCACAAACTTTTTGGAAGAAAAGACTGACCCAAGATATCTTGGTTTGATTTGGAGAAGGCTTTTAAAGCCTATTGTATACTAACTCTTCCCGTCAAGAATATGAATAGAACTTAGATAGATCACTTTACATTTCTGCGAATGAATAGCTAAAAATATGTATTTCTTAATAAACGAAATAGGCCACCATTGGTAGCAGTTCTCATTATATACTTCTCAGTAACTGCTCCCCTTAAATTAAATGTATTCTGTAGATTTTGGGGATTCATTAATGCGTTTATTGCCATCACCATGCTTTTTCAAGACTCTTTTAAATTCTATCATTTTATAAGGACTTTTCAATGTTCGACATCGAAACAGAGGATTTCGACATTCTGTATTCCTTGCTTACTTCCTTAAACCTTTTCTCCTCCTTATCTCTTTCATGGCTTTTTATTTAATGCCGGTGTTTATTTTATTATTATATATAGTCGTTATTCATTTGTTTTAAAGCTCAATAAGGAAGATTTAAACTTTCACACACGTTGACCGGCGAAAAACTCTGCCCGGTTCCTTCGGCCCCCACCACGTTGAATAAACAGAAGGCTGCTTTTGTGGAGGAAGTTACAGCGCTACGTACGCACATTTAGCTTTCAGTGTTACTGACCTGAGATGTTTTTATTACATGAATTAATTACATTGACCATACCGTTCACCATCCCCCACCCACCTACTGTATGTTGATTTTTGACATGTAAATGGGTACCTACCCCCCTCTGAGTGAATACCTGTTGTACCTGTCAGGGGCTAAGCCCATAGGACGATGCTCTGATGTCATCACCCTCGCACATTTGTCATATGTTTACAAAAAACGATGTTAACACTTTCTCGTTCTTAATATATGCTATATTTAGGGTCGATATGTGTTGAATTTACACTAGAACCGCCAATCGGGTCAATTTGACCCAGAGCTGTTTTTTATTGTGTGTAACTTTTTTTCAATAAAATATTAAAGTCTTCCAGTCCGTGACTTTTCCTGAAATTGTGTTATGTAGCACCCTATGTTGTTAAAAATGGTCAATATGAAGTCAGATTGAAGAAATCGCCCAAAAAAATTGCCATTTATACCTATTTCCGCCAAGCGGGTCATATTGACCCCACCCCTTTTCATATAAACATGACGTGTTGCTATAGCAACGCCTTTTGTCTACTGCGGTTCCTCTTTATAGATTGAGAGATAGATTGAGAGAGAGAGAGATAGATGGATAGATATATTGATAGATAGTTATAGATAGAGAGAGAGAGAGAGAGAGAGAGAGAGATAGAGACAGTCTGTAGTGAAGGAGTGTGCTCCCGCTCACAGGAGACTGCTCGCACTGCGCTCCGCAGCAAACAGCTGTGGGGCGAGTTGAAAGTACGTTATGCTGGCCGCGGTGTCTAAATAATGCTTCCGGCCCAGTGGGCCATTTATAATGTCGAGCCCTGAGAGTCCACAGATTATATTGGTATACGTTTCATCCCTGTGCGATCAAAACTCTCTGTTCAATAAAAGAACATTTTACCTTGAAAATCAATGCATTCTAATAGCGGGTCAATTTGACCGAGGTGGCGGTTTTAGGTATAAAAAATCTCTGGCGGTTCTAGTGTTAAAATAGCAGATCACTGTGATTCGGCTTAGTGAACGTGTGTCTCTTCCTCCGCGGCTCCTCCGTGCAGAGAGGCCCCCGCCCCCGTTGACAATTCACCAGCGTCTAACTCTCTCCCCCCTCCCCCGTCGCACCTTCTAACAGAGCCCCCCCACATATAAAATCCCAATTTAACCCCTGGCCTCTGGAGCAGAAATGAAAGTTTTAAAAATGTTTACGTTTTGGTAAGTTTTTAGGGAAATGTTGTAATATTGCAACGTTGGCCTTAGGTGGGAGCAGAATTTCTGTATTTCTACTCACATTGTCTGAATAAATATATTGAACAACTAAGGGTTCATTTGCAGGATTGATTGCTTACTTAGCCCTATATCAGTATATAGCATGAATAATAATCACACATCACTCATATTTGTTATGAATAATCATTTATCATTTATCATTTAAGTCGCTTTGGATAAAAGCATCAGCTAAATGCAATTTATGAAAGCCTCACTCAGGATTTTTTTAACAAGTGTTTTTATTGCTCTTGGGGCATTAAAAACAAGATTTTAACTTTAGTTTTTTATATAATATCTGCATTTTCTCTTGTGAAAAACTAAGTCTTAGTTTGGCCATAGTTATTTAATATATAGCGCCATCTCCTGGTTAAATCCTGAAATTGAAAATCTGGCAACGCCCTCTTGGAAAATAGTGGGAGGGCTTAACATTCCCAGATACTGGTCTTTGGCAGGTCTTAGGCAGGTAACTGGCTGGTAGTAGGCAGGAAGCTGTATGCTGGAGTCTGACATAAGATGCTCCATCTGTATGCACAAACTCCCAGCCAGGCTGCGAGTGTGTGTGTGTTTCGGGCTGGGTTTCGCGGTGTCTCGCTGTCTCGCAGACGGCCACTGGGCTCACAGGGAGGGGGGGCAGGAGCTCAAACAAGCCGTTTAGGACAGAGAGTGAATACACATACTATACAGAGATGCTGTATGAGAAACCAATGTGAGTTTGGAAAATTGCACAATATAAATGTATTTTAGTATACCTCAACAATGGAATTATGATCAGTAGAAATGGCCATGACATGGGACCTTTAAGACTAAGTTAAGATTAAGTTGAGACTAAATTGAGACTAGGTTAAGTTACTACTACTACTACTACTACTACTACTACAACTACTACTTATACTTATACTTATACAACTACTACTACTACTACTACTACTACTACTACTACTACTACTTTCAGAATATGAATCTATGTATTTCTGTTTCATTATGTTCTATGTTTTTTACTCTGTGTTCCTATGTTTAGATGCTGTTGTTTAATTCACTTTCTCTCTGTGTATTTTATATGTAAAAGCACTTTGTAACTATGTTTTTATAACCGTTAAAAAACACAGGCTAACAGTTAGCATGTTAGCACAGCCGGCTAGCTCTCGGCTGTTTAGCTTCATTACAAACTGCAGACAGGAACATTCTTCAGATGAACATAATCCCTGACTGACTCTGAGTTTCATCTCCAGCTGATTATATTATTTACAGCACTAAACCTATTTTTAAATCAACTGAAACTTTTAAAAGAAACCAACTCACCATCTCTGTTTCGAGTACAGGCTGCCATCTCTGGTGTCACATGGCCAAACAGCGGCTGACGGACCAATCAGAAGCCGGGAAATCTTCTTCTTCTTATTAGCGGGTCGCAAACTACTTAAAGGTGCATTTACCGCCACCTGCTGTCGAGAGCGAGCATCATCATTTCACAAAATCACCAACCATGTTTACTCCTTATAATGTAATGATTTAGTAGATTTACTAACCCTTAGATGCACAAGTGGCTCTTTTTTTACCCGGTGAGGTGGTTTTCTTGAAGTATCTTTGTAATTACATTTTTTTATCATTTCATATTCCAGCTATTCCTCAAAAAACACGTTTTAGATAATATGCCATTCACATTTTTAATTTACATTTTATACATTTTAAGAAATTGTAGTTTTTGTATTTCTACCCCAAGCTTCCATAAGTGGGTCAAAAAAGACCCACATGCATTTCCTATGGGATCCTTTGGGAACCTTTGATTCTTATCACCTGCTGTCAGGAATACATTCACTGTAGACCACACAGACTACATCACACGTGACACCTCTCAGGAAGATTACTTTACACAGCAAGATCTGAAACCTGTCAGTATAATAATAATAATACATTATATTTGTATAGGGCTTTACAAGGACTCAAAATCGCTTTACAATATAAGGGAAGGTTAGGGTGGGGGGTATAGGACTATCAAACTTGATCAACCGGCATGGATTGATGGGGGTGGGCTATGAGTAGACAAGAGGAGAAGAGATGAGTTTTGAAAAGGGACTGGAATACTGTGAGGGTCTCAGAATAGCAGAGATCTTTGCATCGATATGTTCAAAACGTTTTTTTCAAAATGTAAAAAAAATGTCGACAATTATAAATAGTGAAAAATTTAATATTAAATATTTCTAGCATGAACCAAAATATAATTCTAAATATTATACAAGTGATTTTTCTTAACCAAAATGACAGAAATTGCAAAAAAACACATATTCTAATACGGGTCCTTTTTGACCCACTTATGGCGCGTTTCCACTACAGCGCGCAGCCCGGTTTAAGAGGGCTGTGACGTCAGCGGCCCGTCTTTGGTTGCGTTTCCACTTGGCCTAGTACCGGCCGGCGGGTCCTAATTCACAGTTTTTCTGGCCTCATAAAATCGTGGGTCCAGGGCCAGAGACAACGAGGCTGAGTCGGGCTAGACTAGAGAGAGCGTCCCTGGCAAGGGGGCTACAACTACAACAAGATGGACATATTTGACCGTGATTTAATTGTAATTAGACCCTCCAGAAAAACGCGATTATGCGATCGCATAATTTACCGCATAATCAGCAAAATGGCGCAGATTTTTAAAAGGGCGCATATTTATTAAAAGGTCGCATAATCCCCGCATTTTTCCACACAAAGTTGAGGGGAAAAAAAAGTTAACGTGAAGTAGTGATGTCATCAGCTCGCGCAGGTAAACAACACCGTAGAGTGAATGTGTGGAACTCACACGAGAGAGAAAACAACAAGATCAGCGCCATATAGATTATTATATACTATTATACTATTATTATTATATACTATTATACTATTATACGGCTCTGACCAAGATGAAAAAATCGAATCCATCTCATTTGCCTACGAACATTTCTGCTAAAGACCGGGCAAAGCAGTACCCCGATGTCTTGCACGAAAGTGGGGGGAAACTATTCTGCACCCCGTGCAACTGTGTGTTGGAGCATAAGAGAAAATCGACGGTGACGACCCACTTTGATTCATTCAAACATTCTAAAATGCTTTCTGCTGCTGCGGACAAGAAAGTCAAACAACTCACGTTCACCGAGGTATCAACCTCCAAAACCCTTTCGAGGGCTACAAGAAACGAGGTGAGTAGCCTACAAGATTAAAGCTGGTCAGATAACGAACGAGTAAATGAAAACAGAATGAGGCGGAGAAGAGTGTGTGTGTGTGTGTGTGTGAGAGAGTGATTAAAATAGCCCATATATAAATACATAAATAACACTTTGTGATGTAGCTTGCTTCTAGTATGCTTGTTTATCATAGGAACTCTTTAAAAGGGCTCACTTTCATTCAGTAGTAGCCTAGTAACAGGGTGTGGGAGAAGAATCACCTTTTTTCCGCAACTTTTCGCATATTTAGCATATTTCCGCATATTTCGCAACTTCACCGCATAAAATCACATAAAAACCCTGCATGTTTAATCGCATAATCAAGGATTTTAGCCCGCATAATCAAGGATTTTAGCCCGCGTTTTTCTGGAGGGTCTATGTAATACACGTTTCAAAATGATGCCGAAGTAACAACATACTGATACCGGTTAGTGAAAACCATGAATTAATGCTTTGTCAAGTCTGCAGACAGACGGCAGGGGAAAAACCTTTTAAAATGCTTGTTTTCTAAATGGAGATTGGCTAAGCTAACGCAGTATACACTGTAAAAACTGTTGCTTTGGTAAAACTTAAAAAATATGTGTCAAGCGATTCCAAGCAATTTTAAGAGTTTAGTCAACTTTTGCAATTTTTGAGTTGGTGAAATGTACTTTTTTTAGTTTTCCTCTACTCAAGAATGTGTTACTTTGCTAAAACTTAAAAAATATGTGTCAAGCGATTCCAAGCAATTTTAAGAGTTCAGTCAACTTTTGCAATTTTTGAGTTGGTGAAATGTACTTTTTTTAGTTTTCCTCTACTCAAGAATGTGTTACTTTGCTAAAACTTAAAAAATATGTGTCAAGCGATTCCAAGCAATTTTAATTGTTTAGTCAACTTTTGCAATTTTTTAGTTTTCCTCTACTCAAGAATGTATTACTTTGCTAAAACTTAAAAAATATGTGTCAAGTGGTTCCAAGCAATTATAGGAGTTGGGTAAACTCACTAATGTGATTTTTTCTGCATATGAAAAGATGAGATGAGCCTACAATTAAAAGCCCAGATATTAAGTGTAACCAATGCAAATAACAATCTGCTAAGAACTACACGAGAATAAAGTAAATTATAAAACACAATTGAGTTGCCGGAACCTATATACGACAAACTCTTCCTGATTTCAATCCAACCCTTTAAATATTTGATAGCATTGAAACATTGCAGATTAAACAAATAAATTAAAAAAGGGAACATTATGGACATGTTAATACATTTTATTAAAATGTGATTATTTCAAAACAGTTGTCATAAAAGAAAACAAGTTTGTTTAAAAGCACAACACATTAACATACATGGAGACACATGGTTATTACTTGATGGTTATAACTGCATCTGGCTCGTGGGCAACGTATCACTTCATGCTGTGCATCACGAGCCTGGTGCACTTCGACCTCTGCTGTTCCCTGTAAATACAAATAAAACACTAAATTGAGTACAAATCAGGACACACCATGCGTTTTCCTCAAAACAAAAATCAAATCCGTCTTGAAAACATAACGAGCCAGTTTACATTAGCTGTTAACAGACGGTAACAGAGGTGCTATTCACATGCATTACAAGGGGTTTAAGCCATCAAAAAAGGCTGGTTTGCAAGAAAATGAACCAAATAGTCATGATATTGATATAGTTCATAAAATGTCCAACTACTTCTTTTTAACCCCACCTCATGCTCAGAGATTTATATAAAGTGGCACATGGGTCCTAGAATAAAAAGAACAGACGATTATTTCAACTTTTATCTTGATAAGTGAGAGCGCAGGCCAGTCTACATGAATGCAGGGCAAGGCACGTTTCTGTCCAAAGGTTCCATGATGGAGTCGATAATGTTTTAAAATATCACTTTGAGTGGTGACACTAGTGCTGCATAGTTTACATCTCCATCCCATCTGTGATTCAAAAAATAGAAATGGGTACGTTTACCTGATGCTCATTATATTAGTATGTAAACATAACACGTCTTGAATTAACCTCTGAAACAACAACTAGTCTGACACACTCAAGGGCTTACCTAATGTGAACCTGAAGTCCATAGCAGGAGGCAAAATGTCTTCAAGAGGAGGTGTGACTGTTTTCTGGTGAGGCAAATGAAAGAACAAAATAGTTACATGATGACAATGTAACAATCATTTCAGTAGAATTCATTAAAACATATTTAATTCAATTAATGGAATCAAACATTAAAACACAAGTATCATTTAAAACGGTATTGTATTTATATACATTTATAAGGATGGCATTGTTAGATACCAGTACAATTCCATGATTCTCTACACAGCAGATCCTAATTACTTCAATATACACTCCTTTATCTCGTTTGCATACTGTCTAATATCTACTTTATGTTGTAGTAAAACATCTCCTTAATAAAACTGTATTTATTGATATTTCTCGCTAAAGACTGCATTTTACTGTACTACATTGAACACATCTTGCTGACGTTATACATGCATCCTCGCCCAATACATACTTTTACTGAATTGCGCCTGAATGCACCTTAACTGAAATCACCTCCGTCACTTTCTACTGAGAGCTAACGTTAACTCTCCTGCAGATTCCAACATGGATAGCGTTGCATAAGCATGACAAATATAGTTTGCACTTAATTTTGTATAATAACAACTCGATGCTGTAACTGCAGACTATGAGTTTAAATTGGGTACACTAAGATTGTTGAAAGATAATTCATTGCTCACAGTAAAACAAACGGCGAAATACATATAGAGGAATTAATATCAAATAGGCGCATTAGTAACTTACTCTTACATAACCGCTGGGTTATAAAGTAGTAGGGAATAGTTTTAACGGAGGTATTTTACCGCACAGCATGCACGGCAGGAGAGCCTCTGAGCCCCGCGGCCGCATCACGGTGCCCGGGCCAACGCTTAGAGCAGCATAGGGGAACAGTTTGCAGAGTTGATTCTTAATGTGCTCTTAACTTAACCACTTTTAACAGAATTGCGTCGGTAAGCACTTGATGCAAACTTTGCCCAACAACTTTGCGTGAAGAAATAGACTACATGAGCACGACAGGGCTGAGTCTAACTTTAACAGCAGTAATGGCGCTGGCATGCATTAAAATGTCGATGTTTCGTTCAAAACAGTGAATACAAGAAAAGTAAATAACTTGCTAGTTAAAAAGCAGTAATTAATAACTCAGGTGGCA